ACAAAGAGAGAGTCCTTTCACCAAAACACTTTAGAGAAGAGATTCAATAAAAGCCACCCACTCATCATACAGAGAGCTCGAGACACATGCTCTATGAGAAAGTCACGGCCCAGTCTCATTCATGCAGAGCTCGAAACAGCTCAATAAATGACCAGCACACCAAAGTTGGCAGCATCTATGCGTGTATGTGCACAAATACATGAATCATAACCAAGAGGATTTATCTCAGCACACTGATGCTTTCAAATCCATCAGTGTAAATCATCAATGTAAATGGAAATCAGTGTAAATCAAAATCTATCAGTGTAAATCGCCACAGTAACCTAGAGAAAAACTGTAACTCCAAAGATGCAAAAAGAAAAAGATTAAAACATTAATGATAAAAACCCTTAGCAGAGCAGGAATAGAATGAACACTCCTTAACTTGATAACAGTCATCTCCCCAAAATGCACAACACATCCAGACTTACTGGGGACACTTTAGAAGCATTGCTTCAAGTCAGACATGGGCAGAGAGGCGTCTCCTTGGCTCTGTCCACAGGTGCCAGTGGAGAGGATGAAACCAAGAGCCTAAGAGGGACAGACAGGCAAGGTGACCCAAGGCTGAAGGGCATTCTATTAGGGTGATCGACATCGCATAATTCAGCGGTACTACGGAGCCACCGTTTCCAGATGGACACACTGGACACACCCTGGCTGGCACGTCCCCAGTGGGAAGTCTCCCTCAGCCCACAGGGCTCTTGGGTGTATCACTCATTCAGCTGCCGGAATGTTGCTTACCCAGTTCAGACAAACACCGAAGGGAGTGCTGTGGGGGTTGCAGGCAAACTTGTTTAAACCCCACAAAAGCCCGACCTTTGTGCTTCCATTTGCTGGAAGCCATAATATCTGCTCTCTGTGATTTAAATAAGGAAGAGATTAGACAGACCATTAGACGTTCAAACTCCTGTGAGGCACCTGAGCGAGGGGGGTACCTTACAGCCTGGCAGGGCAAGGGGGTGTCTGGAGGAGGGTGACCTAGCCCTGGGGTGTTGCAGCCCAAGAAAGGTGAGAAGGGCATCACACGGGAGCTGTCAGCAGCAGGGCTCGGGAGCCGAGGGAGTGAAGAGGGGATGGGGGAGGAAGACTGGGCATACACCGTTGCAGGAGGGACGACCAATTAAATAAATAAAAGTACTGAGGCTAATGGGAGCAGGGTTCTTACTATCAGAGAAAGGAGTTACAAATCTGGAGAGAGAAAAACAGAATGAACCCGTGGCGTTGAACTAGAATTAAAGATATTGGAACGAACTTGTACTTTTCAATGTGTACAGATATAGAAAAAGTAGATGTGAATTTGTGTGTGTATGCACACATACGTATCACCCATAAATATTCTTTCACTCTGTCCTCTGAGAGTGATCAGAGAAGTAATATCTCAATAGCAACGAGCGTATGTAAGGCCAAGATCCACTCTGAATAGAGCCAGGGCTCC